CCATGCTGAATGCAAATCTGAATGCAAATGATTAGATTCTAATTTTTCAGGAAGCAATTCAATGGATCAAGAAATCTCAAATTTTACCACCATTTGTGAAAGTGGCTCAGGTCGGATTTGACGATCAGATTTGTGCGTCCACACAGCTCTAAAAACATCAGATCTGATTAGGGCAAAAAATCTGATTTATGCCACTTCAACCTGGTAGTGTGAACGGAGCCTAAAAGACTTACTTGTATGTTATGATTCCAACTTCTGGATTTAGTTTTTTTCCCCTACTTTTTTTCCAGCCCCCTTGTATGCTTCTCCTTACTGTTACTTGCCTTTAACCCAGTTTGAGCACTTCGTATACTGATGTCAAAGCAAAATCACTCCTAAAAGTGCTCAATATCAAATGTCACATACATCGTAAAAATGTCCTGAATGTAGAAACTCTTGCACCTGCGCCCACATGAATGCTTTTACCATAATGTTTCTAACACAGCGATTATAACCACAATCGCTGTTCAATCTGTCACTTTCAGCTCTTAAACTGTCGCAGTTATCAAACTAAATGGAAAAGTACAATCAATATACGTAAATCACAAATCAGTGGCTAGATGGGCAGACAGACACATGGACAAAAAGCCAGACAGCCTTGCCTATCATTTGGATTACTTTAGCTGAATAAAATTCATTAGCTTGGCCTGTCTGTCCACATCTCTGCAGCGAGTCATCATTCTTCCAGACTGTTTGCAAAGAGCTACAAATTGAGCCCTAAATAGCAGGACGTGGCCATTAAAAGAGAATGGAGGGCAACAAAGTGTCTCCAACGGAGATCCACTGGAAGGACCAGTAGGAGAAAGCAGAAACATGGGTTTTATTCACTTGTGTTTTGTACACTGAGTGAATGATTCATTCATATATAGAGGGAGCTAAATTATACTCTTCAAAAGTAGACTTCTGGACAGCTGCATGTAAGTGCTTGTTTAACTGTCTTGTCACGACTGGCTAGACGATTAATGGTGCAGTCATTTTTTATGGAAGAATTCAATTTATCTATTAAATACAACATTCACTGGACCACATAACTTCAACAAGTACATTTGGCATGTATTGAAGATTGTTAAAGCCATTAGCATTAATATAGAGAAACCTCTGCAGCAACCCCACCTTTCATCAAGAGAAACCTCCCTGATACTGTGTTTCACTCTGAAAAAAACACTTTAACTGACTTTAACCTATGTTGACTTCAAGGCACACTATATATATGTATATACACACATACAACATACATACACACAGCATACATACATACATACATGCACACACACAACATACACACAACATTCATTTAAATAGCATTTTTTTTACAAAGTTAATGCAACTTCTATTTATGAGTTTATCATATTGGGAAAAAATATAAAACATAAAATATGCCATAACTTTTAAAGACTTTTTTTGTTCCAATATGTTAATTCAGCAAATAAACAGTTTTTGTGAATTAAAATGTGCAGAAGAGGATGTGTCCTTTTTACTTCAACAAACCATGTAAATTGATAGGGGCACTTAGATTTAATTGATTACATCATTAAGTGTTATTTAGTTTAACCCAACACCAGTTCTTAAAAGCAATTTGGCTATTGGCTATTCCTTGTGTGAACATTAGCACCCTGGTGAGGTCTTAATTTTCCAGGCAAAAGTGGTATTTAGCGGCTAAAACAAATGCCGTGTCGGCAGGTCACTGCAGTTAAAATAATGTCAAATGTAGACACTTTTGGAAAGGCGTGATCATAGAGCTTGGATTCTGCTCTTCTAATTGCCTCTCATCATATCAAGAGCTGAGTGAGATCTATTTCCTTTAGCTCACTCTTCACGCAGCAGTAGTAATGATGTGCTTCATAAGCTCAAATGGTGTTGTATCACTTCTTAAGACAAGCGCCACTTGAAAAGAATTCAGCAAACTGTACAACTGCAACCTTGAGCAGTGAGTGAGAGGAGAGAGCGCATAGATGCAGACAAAGTGTAGTACACACCTCTTTTGACCGCGATTCAGCCCATCGCAGGCATGATATGTGTGTAGAAAAGAGAGTTCAGACTTCAATCTTAGCTGCTAAAGCTTCAGGCCTGCTAGTGTTGGTACAAACTCCAAACGGCCATCCAATCAAATTTCAAAATATTTAACACTAATTTTTCAAAGTAAAATACTGTTTATCATTTTGTTGTGAAATCCTGTAAAAACACACACACAAAAAAAACCAAATAAAAAGGCATATATATACATTTTTAAAAATATTTGCACTTTTGGTCATGTATATGTAAATATAGTAAAATATGTATTTGGATTTTAAAATGCATACAATTGTATGCAAACGTTTGAAGACTCCTTGTCAAATTACAGGTTTTGCTGATTTTCTAAGTGACAATAAGCTCCTCCACAGACAATAGCTTTAAAAATATGTGACAATTTTTCTGCCAATTTTTGTGAACAGTTTCTATTTATTTGCTTCTCTTGTTTAACATATCGGAAAAAAAATAAAGCATAACATGCGTGCAAAACAAAACGTACAAATGTCTGCATTCGACTGTTCTTAAAATATTCTGTGCAAAACATGGTCAATAAATTTGATGTATGACAAAATATGAACATTCATACTTACAGGTCTGATAAGTTAAAAAGTAATGTCCCCTTAGGTAAATTTATACTGGACACTGAAGTTGCATTACTTTTATAGATGTTATTTAAAAATGTCTTTAACCCTTTAAATGGCCAGGGCCCACTGGTGGACACAAAGTTTTACTACACACTTCTAAGAATAAAGGCCTAAGAATAGCTCAGCCAGTTTGCATTGAAGTCCCTGTAGATACTAATTAATAAGCTTTAGATCGCAATAAGCCAGGGATTTTAAGGGGTTAATCTTTACTATGTAGAAGATTTTCAAAAAGGTTTTCACACACACATTTTACATATGATTCATTTAAAAAGTATCCGTTGAAAGCACCTTGCGGTGGTGACGCTCAGGATGGCAGTGATGCTGTTCTTACCACTTTTTTTTAAAAGCCTAATTGTTTCCCCACCACTTTTGGAACGTTTGAAATCGACAAATGTCTCTAAGACCATGTGGAAAAGTGTCTTTGGTGTTTCCTCAACATTATACTGATAAGTGATGCACTAGTGACGATGCTGTGCACTGACAATAAATAAGAATGGTTGTTATGTTTACTGAGATTATGAAAATGACAGTTGGATTCTAGGCTTTTTTCACTGACCAAAGGTGACCGCAGAAGGTGAGTGCTGCTTGATTTTTTCAGATTTACCACTATTTTACCATTATCAACATTACATATAAAATGCAAATAAAATCTGTAGGCTCACTTGTCATTTTGAATAGTAAAAGAAGTGGATGTGTACGCATTGTAGATATCATGACAACTGGTTCCCATCAGCCCACTGTAATGTGAAATCTGAATCAACAAGCTTCTCTAACCATTTCACATCAAACCACACTGAATAACTGAATGACTTTAATTACGCAGAAATTTTGAAAAATCTGTGGAATTTCCCTTCTCTATTGATAAGCCGATGACTGAAATTTTACCCTAAATTTGTTTTGGCAAACCAAATCATTCTCGGACAGGATGACTTTCTTAGTGTTAACTCTGGCCCAGATCCAAGCGGTCAGCGCGCCAAATGTAAATCCGCCGACTCAGCCATCTGGCTGTCACTCAAAAAGGAAGTTAAGTAGGGAACTGCGCAGCAGGAAGTTAACCTTACTCGAGACTCCGCCTCTTCCTGTCCTGCATTACCAGTGTCAATCTAAGTGTTTGTTAGCTAAGACACCTTTGGCACACGCACACGCACACACACATGGTTTCCTAGCAGCCCAACCACTCCTACACATGAAACACAAAGACGCACACAAACCACTGATTTCCAGTAACCACACGCACCCACAGACGCATGTGCGCATGCACACACACATACACGTGTATTTGTATGACAACACAAAGGTGAAAACCATTCATTTCCAGTTAACTAACCACACACAGTCGTTTCCAGTTGACGCACTGTTGTGGTCAAGGGCACCGAGTGCTGCTGTGGTCTGACTGCTTGCACAAAAATCAGGTCATATTTTCCTATAGACTCTGAACTGACCTTGCTGGACCACTGTGCTGACCATAAGCACGTCCTTCCGCACCCCTCCTTCAATAGTTCCTTACTTTTGGGTTTCTACGCTGAGCTGAGCTTTGAATGTGTCACTCACATCAATAAATATATCCTTGGAACAAAACCTCACATCTCCAAAACAGAAGCAAAACATTCAGAACTGTATTTTTAAGTTAATGTGACAAGATTTTATCTGTTTCTGTGATGATACGGTCATGCAAATGTTTTGGCACCATGGTCAAATTCCATGTTTTGTTGTTTTTCTAAGTGAGTTAACACATCCTCTATAGGGAACACACTTCCGCACATTTTTGTACAACATTTAATACAGAAATTTATTTGCTGAATTTATCATATTTGGCAAAAAATAAAACCTGTGTGATCTGTGCAGAATTTATTCCACATTTAGTATTTTATGCTTTTTTTCCAATATGATAAACTCAACAAATAAATAGAAACTGTGCACTAAAATCTGCAGAAAATGTGTCATATTTGTTCTCTGAACAGGATGTGTCTTATTTTCACTTAGAAAATCAACAAAACAGGTAACTTGACCCGAGGTGTCGAGGTCAAACGTTTGCTTACGACTGTATAAGACCTACCATTACTGACAGAACTGAAAGACAGAACTGTGCTGATGTAAGAGATTTTATTCATGTACGATTTACACTTCAGAATCCAATGCATCACTTTTTAATCTCAATAGACTTGACTTTCTCTCAAACTTACTATCACTTTCTATTTCACTGTAGCACTTCTGTTTCCTCTTTTGTCATTTTTGTTCTCCAGTCATTCTATATGTGTCTTTCTCTTCAAACACATACAAACATCAGCACATTCACTCCTTCCTTACCTCTAGTCTTCAGCCCTTTGTTACCATGTAAGAGCAGGAACTGCTGAAGAGAAGCACCGCAAAATCTGAGAGAGAGAAGGAGAGAGGAAGGGAGAGAGAGAGAGAAAGAGAGAGATGGAGAGAGAGATGGAGAGAGAGAAAGAAAGATCAAAAATCCAATTCAGTCAAAAGTAACCACAGAGGAGGATATGAAGTCTGAATTGTCAGCTGTCAATCACACACACACACACACACACACACACACACACACACACACACACACGGACCCTCAGACTTGATGAGAATCTGTGCTTGATTAGGGTCAAAGCAAGACGGATACTTCCTGTCTCTTCTCTTCCTCTCTCTCTCTCTCTCTGTCTAGCTCTCCCTTCTCTCTTTGCCTTCCTCTCTCTCTATTTCTCTCTCACTAATCACTCTCTCTCTCTCTCTCTCTCTCTCTCTTTCTCTCTCTCCCTCTCTCTACCTATGCTCATTCTCTCAGTCACTCCCTTTTTCTTTTTCTGTCTCCCTCTCTGGCTTGCTCTCTTTCTATCTGTCCTTCTCTCACTCACTCTTTCTCCTCTCTCTCTCTCTCTCTCTCCTCTCCCTCTTCTCTGTATCTCTCTCTATTGTCCATTATCCCTTTTTTATCTCTTGCTCTCATCCACTCTCTTTCTCTGTATCTCTCTCTTGTCCACTCTTTATTCATCCCTCTGCCTCTTTCTCTTTATCACTCTTCCTCTGTATCTCTCTGTTGTCCACTCTGTCTTTCACTGAATCTCTCTTCTACACTCTCTCTTTCTCCCCTCTATCTTGTTCTCTGTATCTCTTTATTATCCACTCTATCTTTCTTTCTTTCTCTCTCTTTCTGCCCAGCCCTCTGCATCTCTCTCTTTTCCTTTTTTCCTATATCTTTCTTTGTCTCTCATGCAGGGTCTCTCTCACTCTCTCTCTCTCTCTCTCTCTCCTCTATCTTTACTGTTCTTTCTCTCTTGCTCTCTCCTTGCCTTTTCTTTCTCTTTCTTTCCTCTGTCTCTTTACAGTTATATGATATTGGGCAACACAAAGAGAAAGAGAGGGAAAGAGAGGAAGGAAGAGAAGGAGAGAGAAAGAAAGAGAGAAAAAGGGAAATGTACAGTATCACTCAAGCCTGAAACTAACTGCTACAGAAACGTTTCTGCTGCTCCGTGACAACGTCTGTTGATGTTTGTTGTAAAGTGCTGTTGAACTGAACTGCATAAGTTTACATTCAAAGAAAGTGGCTGAATATACAGACAAAACTCTACACTCTGCATACTGATGTGAGGCTTTATCAATATATGGCACTGCTTCAATATATATTATATTATGAGGCAGGGCTTTGGATGCACACTGTCTGAAACTATAGGCTACTTTTGTTACTGTTATAGCAGGAAGTAATGCATGAAGGTGGCACACAGACATAAATTCCAGACTAAAGAAAAGTGAAGAAGGCTCAGTCATGTTATTTAGCCCTGATTCCATATTAGGGCCCAACTCATACATTGTTTGGCCAAAGTTTCACAATTAAGTGGTGTTTATAGTAAACTTTAATATTACTTTAGGGTTGTTTTACTAAAATATGGTGTTCAATATAATAAAGGGTGTGAAACACAAAAACACAAGCATGGTGTTTCCAACACCAGCAAAAGCTCTGCCCTCTGGATGTTTGCACACATAAGCAATTTTAACTTTCTACATTATTCTTCAAGTCCTATTAATCACCAGCACATCTATTTGGACTTTGCAGTCAAAGCAGTATTTAGTGTTGGCTTAAGTTTCTTTATTTCAGTGTGAACTGTAAAGCATTCACTTGCACTTGAAAATGAATAAATACATTTTATGAGTTCATTTTATTTATGTATATATATATATATATATATATATATATATATATATGTATATCTCACAGGGACAAAAACTGTTTCATTTTAATGGATAAAGTGAAGCTAGAAAATGTAAAAATTAAGTATGATTGTTTTTGTACATAAAATCACACAAACATCAAAAAGGGACCTCAGGGAAAAAATAAAAAACAAGTAAAACATTCTGCTCTATGACGCTACTCCAGCCCTGCACGTGTTTAGTGATGCCATGTACATGTGACAAGTCTGGAAGCTTCAAAGGGTCTAACACCCAGCCTGCAAAACATCTAGGTCAAACACTGAAAATCATATTCATATAAGTTGGGTCCTTTTTCATTCCAGTGCTTCTAGAGCACTGCCCAAGCCAACTGTACACTCCACACTGTCTGAGCTCAGTTTATATCTAATAAGATTAAACTGCACCACCTGGCTTCACTTCTTTCAACACACTCAACGACACACAGACATCAACAAAAAAAAGAAACATCTACTGACACAATGGCCATATTGACTGATTGCTCCATGATATTATTTAGCGCGTCATACTGCCTCTACACTACATTGCGGATATCAAACAGCTGCATGGCTGATTAAAAGAGATACAGTCAGGTTTTTCTCGTGGTGTAGCTGTGTGAGGTTTCGCTCTGTTGTTGGGAAGTCATGCTTAAATCTAGAGAATGAATTGGCAATTCAATAAAAAGACATGAAAAAGACAGGACTGCCTGCATACAGTCCTGCGTGCGATTTAAATAAGCTCAAGGTTAATTTCCATTGTGCTGCAAGACAGTGGGAGAAAGGGTGAATGAAAGCTGTAGGAAAAGAAGGAGCTTTACAGCATTACAGGTTGTAGTCACATATCAAAATGCAAATTTGCCAATCTAACTATTCAGAGGTGGAACAATGAATAAAATGCTTTTATTAGCAGTTTTTTTAATGTGAGACTTCTGTTCTGCTGATATATTATGTATGAATGTAATACATGCTGTATTGTGATATGTGTTGTGTATGGTGAAAATGTCAATAAATTCTTCTTCCCTGAGATCTACATATGAATTATTTAAAAGCTAATGCACCAAAAAAGTTGTAATTCCATTTTACATGAGCACTTTCAATCTCTTTTTGCCTAGAATTAAATAGGCTGCTTTTGGCACCGTGCCTTTAAGACTCATATATGTAAAAGATCTCTGTTCTGACTGGCCTGGTGTTGTGCCAAAAAGCAGTCTGAAATATTCCTTATAACTTCAGCATGAAAGGACGAGTCTAAACTACTGTAGGCTGAACATGCAGGTATACTTTTTATGACATCACAAAAACAACAAATTAAATAAATCAGCTGTTTTGCAACTTTTTTCAATACATGGACTGTATGGACTGAGGATTGAATGCTATGTTTTGAAACTTCAAACATGTCTAAATACTATATCCAACTCTTGTTTAATAAATGAAAATTCATATCTAAAAATTTGGTAGGTATCTTGATTTTTTCCCAGTTCTGTTCCTAGTCTGTTCACTGTTGGTGGGATTTAAACTGACCCTGAATCTCTGTCTATTCAGAGATTCTAAGCCTAAGAACGCGCTCACTGACCCTGACCATGACCCCACTCACTCTGCAAACCTAACCAGGATTACAACTACGGGCCTGGATTATGTAATCTGAACGAGATTGAAATCTGTGAGAGAGCTATGGCAAGAGATTCCACACGACTGTGTGAGTGAGTGTGTGCATGTGTCTGTATGTGTGTGTGTGTGTGTGTGTGTGTGTGTGCTTGACCTGTAGAGAGACAGGAACTCATGTGACAAGTGTGAGTGTGAGAAAGCTGTCAGGCACAGGAAACTTGCAATCTGACATATGTACAGTGTGTTTAATGAGAACTCTGATTTATAAAAAATCAATGCTATTCATTTTAAATGATATTTCTTTTACACAGTCATATGCAAAATTTAACATCCTTGGTCAAATGATATATTTTGCTGATTTTCTAAGCGAAACTAAGTTAACACATCCTTAATATATAATTAAAATATGCCATTTTTCCTGCAAATTTAGTGCATAACTATTTATTTGCTGAGTTTACCTTACAGGAAAAAACATAAAAAATAAAATGTGCCACAACATTTGCACAGACTTAATTTTACAAAGGATTTTCCCCCCAATAAGCTACATTCAGCAAATAAACAGTAGCTGTGCGTTAAAATGTGCATAACTGTGTTCTCTGTAGTGGATGTGTAAACTTGACCATGTCAAATGTCACAATAAATAAAACCTCATAATAAATTAATACAACCTTGTTGTACTCTGTACTTTTATAGAATTACAAATGCAATTACATTGCAGTTACAAAAGTAGTAGGGCTGAATGATAAATGTATTTTTAAAAAGAAAAGAGTTGAAAGAGTACAGTATTTATTACATCCTACATTTTACTTGAGAAAATATAACCTAATAATACAGAGCCTTTGAACCAGCAGCCAGGCAAACTACATTCAGTGCCAAAAAAACAGATGTGCTGGTCTTCTTAGCGAAAAAAGACCTGGAGATTGATTTATGGAAAATAATCATCTATAAATCGCAATCTCAATACTGCTCATAAAAATCAGAATTAGATATTTTCCCCAAACTGTTCAGCCATAAATCAACGGACGATGACTTTGTGTGTTCCTGAAACACAGTTTCGGCACATGCCCGTCCATCTTGATCACAGTAAAATGTTCTACCATGTTTTCTATCACTAAATAAAAGAAGCTCCATGCTTGCTGACAAAATGTGACTGATGTGTGATTTACATTCCTATTTATATGTTTTCCTGTTTAAAATAATTGGCTTTACTTTACATATCAAATAAATGCAACAACAGCACTGAGAAAATCATGCAATCATGCAGAGAAGAGTGGATTAAACAGCAGAAACAGACACTGTTTCTGTGTTGGCCTTTAAGGTCTACACTCCAATCTATTTTCATTAGGTTGAATGGGAATCTTGCCAACATGCTGTAAAGAATGTTCAAACATTGCAAGGCAATATTCAGATTACACAAACGCAAACACACACACACACATACACACACACACTCACACACTCACACACACACACACACACACACACACACACACACATAAACACACACACAGAAACACCTGCACAACAACCTTCTGCCAGATGTCCAAAAGAGCATTTCTAATTCTTTCCATCCCTCCAGCTATCAA